CTCAGGATTAGTGCTAATATGTCACACTTGATGTGTCTGAAATCATCAAAGACAAGTATTGCACAAGACATTGTCAACAGCTGTTCAGAAGAGGGATGGTTATGAAGAAACACATTGTTGAGTCTATATAATCTCTTGCTCGTCGAAGCCACCAGCTGCTTGCACTGATTTCAGTCCTTAGAAAAAGGGGTTTAGAATGGGAATTAAAGAAGAGAGAGCAAGGGCTCGTTTATCAGCCCACATTCTTGATATTTTCAAAGTTGCTCTTTTGAAAAGATTAGGAATTACGGCTGCATACTCTCTACATTTAAAACACATTCAAAGCATGTCTTTCCCAAGAGTCCTGGGAGCTGTCGTTTGTTAAGGCTGCTGGGAATTGCAGCTCACTGAAAGGTAAAAGCCATGTTTAGGATTCATTTGAGGGGGCAGCTGCTTTAAATATATGGTGTATATGCTTTGAAGAATGGTAACAAAACAGCTTCCAAGGACTGGAGCTGTGTTCCACAGTCTTGCATCGGTACCCAACCCTATATGCGACTAAGTGATTGCCTGAGATGGTAGGCTTTGTAGTAGGTTTGAAAGTCAAGAATTCAAAAGTCTCCATGTAAATTGTGGGCTGAGATAGTTGGCCAGAAGTGGGGTCTAGAGGAAGAGGCAGGGGAAGGAGACCCAGGACAGGGGGAAATGGACTGGATGGTGGACTAGGCCAACAGGTAAGTGAACTGGAGCCAGATAGATGAGTCAGTGGATACAGCATGGAAAGAGAGAAACAGAGATCACATCCACACCATACATTCAAAGCAGGTAGCCTCCCCTCAAAGAATCCAGGGAACTGTAGTTTGTTAAGGGTGCTGGGAATTATATCTCTATGAGGATTAAGCTACAGAGCTCAGGACTCTTTGAGGGAGGGTGTCATGTGATTTAAATGTATGTTGTAGATAGGACCAGAGATGTGGGAACTAAGGAGTGTTTGGAAAGAGAAAAGGGCCTTGTGCCAGGGTGTGGCAGGACTGGCACTGAAGTCAAGGCCAGACAGTGACATTTTGCTGCCTGAGGTGAAGGACAAGATGGTGCCCCCTGCATTCCATGTGAGCAGGGCCAGCCCAAAACATTTTGGCACAGAATGGCACCCGCTCCCAACCAGAAATGAAGGGGTGAATGAAGAAGAGAAGAAGAAGAAGAGTTTGGATTTGATATCCCGCTTTATCACTACTCGAAGGAGTCTCAAAGCAGCTAACAATCTCCTTTCCCTTCCTCCCCTACAACAAACACTCTGTGAGGTGAGTGGGGCTGAGAGACTTCAAAGAAGTGTGACTAGCCCAAGGTCACCCAGCAGCTGCATGTGGAGGAGACGCGAACCCGGTTCCCCAGATTACGAGACTATCGCTCTTAACCACTACACCACACTGGCTCTTCATGAAGATGGACATCAGGAAGAAGGGTGGAGTGAAGATCTACATCTGGGTGGGTGGGAATGAAATCAACCTTACCAGATGGTTGAAGTGGGAATCAAAGGCTGTTATGGAGGGAATCAGGCCTACTCTGAATCATGTTGGCCAGGAAACCCCAGAGGGCAGCCCCCACCATTTCCTCCCTAGCGGGTGGGAGACCAGCAATGTCTCCTACTTGCCAAGAGACCACCAAGAGGCATTGGTGGGGGTGCTGCCAAGGAGCTGGCAGTTGTGGCCTCCAAGGAGTGCGCCGCAGCTATCACTGCTACCATGAGAGCAGCAGCAGCGTGGACCAACTTTGCATATGAAGCTCCCACTTTTGTTTTGGCTTCATGGCCGTTTGCTGTGATGCTTTACCATGATGCCAATGTCACAGCTGGTAGCACCTAAAGCAGACATTTGCACAAAGGTCCAAGTAACTTTATACAAAAATGACACAGGTGTGAGACCTAGTGTCATCCATCTTAATCCATCGTGGCTGCTCTACTGTGTGCGTTAAACTTACTGTAACTACCCAGTATGCAGGGCCCAGATTAATGGGATAAATCAGACTATAAGTGGAAATGGCAGAAATCACTGTTATCGCTCAGTGCATGTCTACTCATAAACAAGCCCTGTTGAGTTCAATGGAACGCACTCCCAGTATGTCTAGCACAGGATTGCAGCCTTGGAAATCAAGTGAGATCAAAGACATCGTGTTTGCGTGAGATGCAGGATGTCCCTCAATGTTCTATTTACAAAACTCAGTCGATTGCTCAACTTCATAAAAAAGAAGTTGAAATAAATAATGATGGAGGTCCTCCGCAACACATGTGCCATAAATACAATGTCTTTGATCATACAGGATGTTTCTGTAATGACCATCCAAAACAGCTGAGGGGATTTGCTGGCACATCAAATAAGAAAAAGGCCGCCCTTACTGAGAACGTGCATAGGTCAGGCTAGTAGCTTATAATTACGTTAAAATTTAATCATGCTATACCAAGGTGGATATTTTCTGTTTGCCAGCAGATAGATCTTGCCGGATGACAACATCCCACATTCTTACTTTAAGTTCAGTTGAGCAGATCCATCTATTCCCTGTTTATATCACTTCTGTGTGTGTTCATTTCATACGTCCATTCTTCCTTACTTCTGCACTAATCTGTGGCGTTTTGAAATAAGCACAAAAAAGACGTAACAGGAAACTATGGTTAATCACCATGGCATCTGTTGACTCATGATGCACCAAGAAGGGAAGAGGGAATGTCGTGAAGATGGAGTCTGTTAACTTGGCTCAATAATGGAGCTAGTCCAGGACATTTTGCTGCCTAGGGCAGAACAGCAGAAGACACCCTCTTTTTAAAAAGTCAAGATGTGTAGTACCCCAGGCTAGCCGATCATTTTGGCACCTGAGGCAAGAAAATCCCACAAGGGCTTCTTCCCATCCCTAACAGTAAAAATATAATAATGCTAAATATCACTCTGCTGCCTTTTCATGACACCCAAAATCAGTTGTCTCACTTTGCTTAATGATAGGGTTTGTCCTGCTTCGTAAGCTGTGATATGGACACGAGAACCAGGCTATAGACTTTTCTCATGTAAGTGTCTTTAGGTTTTATATATAAAATTTCTATGCCTTGCTCACAGAATCATGGAGCAAGGCTACTCTGGTTGGTTGCCTGTGCTCTTGATGAAAAAGTATGACTCTCCTGAACAGAATGCCCTTTCTTTATGATACATCCTCCCTTAGGAGTCTCTTTACCTCATTGTAACTGAAGGAAGCTGAGCAACATAGTGCCCTCCAATATGTTCTTAGACTACAACTCCCATCAGCACTGGCCAGCAGGGCCAATGATAATGGGTGCTGCCATATATAATCTAACAACATCTGGAGGGCAACATGTTGGATACTCCTGCTCCAGGTGCTAGAGATCTAGGTGGGATCTTTTGATAAAGGGCAGTATAATAAAATAATGATGGTGGTGGTGGTGGTGGTGATGTTGGCCATCTCACTGCAATTCAAATACTGGGCAGTCTTCCCAGAGAAGCACCTGCTTTTCCACAAACATTTGCCAAAGAGAGAGAGCGAGAGAGAGAAGGTTTCACTGCAATTAGTGCTGAGCTTGTTTATGTGACCCAGGGCACAATAACAGTAGTTTTAAAGTAGGCTTTGAAAGAAGATATTTCACCCTGCCCTTCAACCATCCGATACGTTTATGGTACACCGAGGACATTCTGCACCAATTCGACAAAAACAGCCAGACACATTTACAGTCAGATAATGTATTAATGGTGGGTGTTGTTTGTGTGTGGGTTTTTTTAATGTGTTAACAAGGGTCAGGAGCTTGAGCTGGCACACGCATTTGTAATTTCGATTTCATGAGCACATTGAACAGCTTTGTTTTCTGTGATGCAACACAGTTGGCATTTGCTCTTAGGTCATCCATTTTTCTCTTTGTGCAGACACAGAACTTTTCCTTACGGTTCTGATCCTTCCTTACTGTTCCTTACAGTTCTGATCCTGCAAAGAGGAAGAAGAAAGCAAATACCCAAATGGATCTTTAGATGGTGAAGAGGGCTGCACTGGAGGTTTGTTTAATGGTGCTTCTGCTGCATGGTAACAGCATGCAGTGTTAATTTATTGTAATTATTTAGTTGCTTTTTTTCACAACAGTGACCGAAAATCACTTACAGAAAACAAATATTAAAAACAAAAGTAAAAACCTAAAATGCTCAACAATCGTATGTATAAAAGGGCAGATCCAACTCAACCTACTAAAAAGGTGACTCAAATAAGAGCCCCAAAGCCTGCTTGCCTTCTCTGCCCAGGGGGAATGAAGGGGCAATGATTATGCCATGGCAACCCAGTCAGATGGGTGGGGTACAGATAATAAAATTATTATTATTAATGGAAGGACCAGCAGGGCTGCACTGGGCTCTTGAGCCAGAGCTTTTCCACCTCTGCTCTAGATTTTATTAATTTTTAACAAGAGGGAGGTTTTCAGATGGCATTCCCCCCATCAAAAGTTGAGTGTAGCATAAACTCTGGCTTGTGATAGCTACTGCGGAAAGAGAACTTTTCTGCAAGATCTTCAAAATGTAAATGCATTCAGAGGCCTGAACATATTTTTTTTTTTCTACTGGAACCTAACATGATTGATAATGTTGGTCCCTTGAACAATAATGCCGATTCTGTAACCTGGGGAGAGGGTCAAAATCCCCCCTCCCTCACCTGTTAAAGGTGTTGGGGTAAGTGGGGGGGGTTTCATTGAACGATCCATTCGGCGATGGGCGTCACGGCGGGCGCCGCCCCCTCGCGCCGAGAGAAGTAGGAATCCATTGAACGATCTCTATTCACGCGCAGCTTCATAGCGGGACTCATCTTTAAGACGTGTCGAGGGTCAGGGAGGCCGGCGCCCACCTGCCTGCCTCCCCGGGGCAACAACGGCAAGCCCTTTCCCCATCCGAAGCGGGCTTTTGTGCGGGCGGAAGCAAGCCGCTCGCCAGCCGCCAGGTGGAGCTCCGACCCCCGGACTCCGCTCTTGGAAATCGGGGAGCGAGCCTGGGGAAGGGAGGAAGGGGTTAAGGAGCTGATGGTGGCGGTGGAGGAGCCTCGACGCCTCTGGAGGGAGTCCCACCCGCCGCGCGCTCCCCCTCGCAGCCCACCCAGCCGCAGTGGTGGGAGCAAGGCGCGCGGGATGCTGCCGGGGCGCAGCGCAGGGGCAACGATGCAGCAGCAGCAGCAACCGGAGAGGGCAAGCGGGGCAGCGGAGGGAGGCGCGGAGCGGGCCAGCCCCTGATGCGGCTCTTTCTCCTCCTCCTCCCCCTTCGGCTGGGCAGCGGCTCCGGCAATTCCCTCCCTCCCACCTCCTCCTCCTTCTCCACCTCCTCCTTTCCCGGTGGCGGCGGCGGCGGCGGCGGCCGCTGTTGCCACGGCGGGGGAAAATGAGCAAGGCGGCGGCGGCGCTTCTGCTGTGCCTGCTGGGCTGCAACGTGTGGAAGGCGGTGACCAAAACCTTAGGAGCGCCCGGCGCCGCTCAAGGTCGGTGCGAAGGGGGCCCGCTTTTGTGCCGCGGCGACGGCGAACCGCAGCGCGCACCCCGGGGAGGGTTTCGGGATGGCGGGCTGCGTTTAATGCTGGGGGGGGCGGGGGGGCGCCTGGAGGGATCCGGGGGTTGCTGCATGGAGAGAAGGAGCCCCGATCGGGCGCCGGAGGTAGCTGCTTCTCTCGGCGCGAGGGGGCGGCGCCCGCCGTGACGCCCATCGCCGCCGAAGTGAGCTGCGGGGCGCTCGGTGGTGGCGGCGGCGGGGCGCCTGGCTCGGAATCCGCCGCCCCGGAGGCTATTGTTACCGCAGCCTCCGCTTCGGCTTTGTGCTTCCCGCACGCTTCGCTTTGCTTTTCCGCCTTCTCTCTCCCCCCCCCCCCGAATCCTCCTTGCCTCCCTTCGCAGGCTTTTTCTGCGCAAGTCTTGAGTCCCCTCCTCCCCCTTGACTCTTGTCGCGATGCTGCCACGGTGATGGGCGCTTCTCTCCCCCCCCCCCCAGTTGCTTCCTCTTTAAGGATTCGGATTGGTGTTAGGGCGGCTGGCCTCTGCGTGCATGTTTCTGCTGGAGGCTGCTTCGATTTGGAAATGCTTCGATTCGAAATGAGGGCGAATGGGAGCCCTTCTGTTCTGCAGGTCTCACAAGGTCCTGAAATAAAATTATCTACTGTATTATGCAAGAAGGGGTTGCCTGACCCCCCAAAAAACGTGGGGGAGAAGGGCCATCTGGCAAACCTTTGATTCCCACCCCCCACCCCGGGGGAAAAAGACCCCTTGACAAACTGTTCTGCACTGCTGGTTCCACAGGGCTTCGCTTCTTGCTAAAACCCCTTACTGCTCCCGCTTTTCTTCCCGCTCCACCAGGTGTTTGTTGTATTGTGGCTGGTTTTGCTCCTGTGGCCTTTCAGGTTGTGTGACACACACACCCACTTTCTTTTGGTGGCATTGGCTGGGTCTTTTATGGACCCAGCTTGGCAGCGACAACCCCTGCCCCCGAAGGTTTAGATTCTCTTCTCTCCCGCCTGGCTCTATTAAGATTCTTCCTCTGGGGAAAGCAGCTTTCAGAAGAGCTGCCCATCCTGTAGTCTTTGCACAGGGCCCTTTTGCAGGCTTTGCAAATACAAAAGCAGCGTGTGTGTCGCTTGCTAGTCACGCTTTGGGCTCATCTGTTCAGAGGTGACCATATGCGATTCTCATTTCTTGCTATGCTGATTTTACCCATCCCCGCCCCCTTCCCCGGCAGAAATAATCCTATATGGCAAAAGCCTTAAGATTAGAGGGAGCATAGATGATGCTGAAGCCAAATCTGTAAAATTAGCACTTATTAGGCCGTATTATTATTGGAACCAATTTTTGCCCATTAAGCTCCAACCTATTTGCTGCATATCCTTCCATCCACAATATGCAGCGGTGTAGCGTGGGTTGTCAGCACCCGGGGCAAGGCAAGTAATTTGCGCCCCCTAACCCGTGGATTTGCCTAACCCCAGATGTAGCGCCCGGTGCGGCCGGCACCCCCTGCACCCCCCACGCTACGCCACTGACAATATGCACCTGTGTGCTGTAAACCTGCCACGTCCACAACAGTGCTGGAGGTGGGAGAGCTGCTCAATCACCATTTAGTCAAGGTCCCGTGTGCATTTCTATCCTTCATTGTTGCCCGAATGTTTTCCCTTCTCCCCAGGCTTCTCTTTGCATCTTTTAGAAAGAGACCCTCTCAAAAGCCACTGATCTGCTGTGGCTTATGTCTATGTTAACTTGCAGCAAACTAGGGGTTTCCTTGGGGGAGGGGGTTCGTGTTTTGGTTTAATTACCTGCTGCAGGATTGACTGCAAAGTAGCTGGTAATGAAACCATCAAGGGCATTTGCAAGAGTGAGTGCTTATTCTTGTAAAAAGCTTCATCAAGGCAGGCTAATAACATCCCACCAGCAATAAGGATGAGAAAGCAAGTGGCGCCATGCTAACAGTCCCTGCCTCCACTTTTGGTGGGTATGCATGTAAAGGCCAGTGACCTTTAAGTGACGCTGTTCTATACCCCAATAAAAGATAGATTACAATTGTGCCTTTTACTACTGTTATGTCATTGTTTCTGAATAAATCATCCCCTCCCTTCTGCACTATGCACTCTTAACCTCCCCCCCCAAAAAAAACCCCCGTAAGCTCTAGCCCTGTGGTCTGATTCTTAGTTTGACAAGATCAGTTTTGCTTTGACTTCTTGAACTTTTGACTGCTGCTTTTGTTGTTTTGCTTTCTTGGGGACTCCACAAAGTGGTCTGTCCGTGTGTGTGTGTGTGTGTGTGTGTGTGTGTGTGTGAAGAATTCCTATTATGATTGAAAAACTGATCAATGAGTTGGAACAAATTGCTAATCTACCAGATTTTGTTTTTAAATGATACTCGTTTGGACCTGCCCTGTGCAAATAGGTATTAATATTCTCATTTCACACGCACAATAATGTAACAATCCAGCATGGGGAGAGAGGTAAACTTAAGCCCCATTGATTTTAGTGGGACTGAAGTTTGCATAGCTGCCCTGTGTTGTGGCAATTGGGTTTTTAGCTGGTTTTCAAAACATTAATCAATGCCTGTTGTTTTGGTGAACCTAAAATTCATATTGCCATTAGGTTCCCATAAAATGTGACTTGGGATACAGTGGTGAAGAAGTTGTGTTCTTGCAGATGCTATAGGACTCCAGCTCCCATCAGCCTCAGCCAGCATGGCCAGTGGTGAGGGATGATGGGAACTGCGGTCCAACACTGTAAGGAGGGGATTTCCCATCTCAGCTGCGGCATTTGTATGCATAAAGTTGAGGAGCTGCTTAACTTGTTGAAGGGCCGTGAAGTAAGGCTAAGAGGCCTAAGTGATGCTATGTTCATGATTTCGCAATTGAAATTTATACCAATAATGTGGAATGAAAGTACAGCTGTGATCCTGTCGTTTTTGAGTGGGAGTAAGTCCCATTGACATACTTGTTTCCTAAAGCATTCTCTCATAGGATCAGGTTGTTGGTTATCGAATGAATGATAACATGGAAAATATGGGCGCCACAAAATTCTTTTATGTAGTAGCTAAATTCCTATAGAATTCTTGATACATTTGCCAGATCATTTTTAAAATTTTACAGTGTCTCCTCAGGCTTCTGTTTTATTGCTAAGATGACTTAAAGCTTGGCCTAACCCAATATCTAGATGAAGGAACTATAAAATACAGCAGCTACAGAATAGCATGATTTGTAAATCAAGGGAAAGGTTTAAAGATGGAGAGTCAGCTGTTATTATCTAGCTGCTATCGTGCGGACTTGCTCTCTCTCTCTTCCTCTTTGAAAAGTTGACCTCTTTTCTGCTTTGAGCTATGTCACCCTTGAGTGAGCAGAGAACATTGATTTATGGTGAATAGAGTGGTCAAGTTCTGTCATCAGTAGTTGAAAATCCAGGGCTTACTGCTGTATGGTTTGTCAAGATACCAAACCCCATGGATTATTTTCTTGGTTTTCCTTCCTAATATAGATGGATTTATACACTGAGCAAGCTCTATAGAGTGATTTAGTATCAGGTGGTGGTGGATAAAGTGTTGGCAATACAAGCAGTAGTCTTGTTTTGATGTGCCATCTATTTGATATTATAATCCAGTTCTTACTTACTCTTGTCTATATTAGAGAACCCATGTTTATCTGTTATACATGTTGGTACTCCTGTTTAGTCCAGCTTCGTTAGGTAAGGTCAACACAACAGACTGGGGCTCCCTTTCTAGAAGTGTTATACACTCAATAGTAGGGCCCATGCAGGAGAGTTTGGGTTCAAACCCCAGGAACAGTGAACAGCATCAGGTGGGTTGGGGAAAGACCCGAATCCAAAACCACTGCTGCCAGCCAGAGTAAACATTGCTGCACTTGATTGACCAGTGGGGAAGGGCCTTGCATAGCTCAGTGGTAAAACATCTGCCATGCATGCAGAAGGCTCTGGGTTCAATCCCCGGCATCTCCAGGTAAGGCTGGGAATGTCCTCTGCCTGGAAAGCTGGAGAGCTGCTGACCGTCAGTGTAGACAGTGCTAAGGTGGATGGGCCATTGGTGTGACTTAATAAATGGCAGCTATCTGTGTTATGTATGGGTTTGTTAAGGGCAGAGGTTTTTGTTATTTTCTGTTTATTTGATTAGCTGACTCTTTGGACCTATAAAAACAACTTCTCAGACAAGCTGAGGAGCTTGCAGATTTCTGGCTACCTGTATAATGAAATCTAATGCCAATTTATTAGCGTCCACCACTCCAAAAAAAACCAGTCTAGATGGGGTAGTGGTACCCTAGCTATAGAAGAGTCTTACCAGAAAGTTGCACCTGGTGCCTTCTCCATGATATTTGCTAGCAAGCTTTTAGCTATCTGCTGCTTATGGTTGATCTTCATTATTATTTATTGTATTTGTAATGTGAACATAAACATGGAAAGGAAAACTAAAACCCAGTAAATGTTGTGATAAGAGCTGCTTTGAAGTGTTTGTCGGTTTTTCAGAGGACTTGGTTTGTACAGCTTTACTTAATGGGGCTAATGCAAACTTTGACAGAATTTGTTTCATTTGTATGGTGATTTTCTACCCCCACCCCCTGCACACATGCAGTCTAACAATGTCAGTTCTTATAGGATCATTCTGAAATTAGAGCTGATCTAAACTGAAATGCCTTGAACTTGCTTGATGATTACCCCAGAAAATTTCACATTGCTGTGATAAAGCCCAGCATGCTTCTTTGAGCAGACACAGTTATTCTATTTTTAGGACAATGTGTCTCTGTTTATTCAGATCGAGATATTTGGTGATTTGACTTCTGGGCGTCATGCAGCATCCTCATTGCCAATGGGGTTTGGGTCACTGAGGTCCCTTAAAGCAGTATTAGCTATAGTGTTTTGCACAGAGTTCAGTGGTGCCAGGAAGAGAGAGAGAGAGAGAGAGAGAGAGAGAGAGAGAGCCCTGTATGGCTTTGGCCCAGTATAACTCAGAAAACTCTTCCTCT